CACACTCACACACACACACACACACACACACACACACACACACACACACACACACACACACGTGTTTACCTATTCCTATGATATGTACCTACTAGTATTGTTATGCTTATAATAATAACATAATGTACGGCATTATAGTGAGAGAACAGCGTTCGCTCGAATAGTCGAATCGTTCACCCGCCGCAGTGGCAGTCAACCAAGACGAGAGAAAAAGAGAGATAGAATTATAAAAGGGAAGAGAGTAAGAGACGTACAAAAAAATACACTGCCCGCCGTCGAGACTTGTCTGCTATTGCTGGATAGTGGATAACAATATTTGTTATTACCTAAAGTCGGTTCGAAAAATCGGGAGCAGGAAAGAACGAGAGAAAACTATCGTCATCGTCATCGAAGGGAAGAATGTCCTGTGCCTGTGTAGACGAAAACGACGTCAACGAGTGCCTAAACCTACTGTGTGTATAAATATTAAATTTATAATAATAATCATTATTATATTAGGTACGTGTAACGTAGGTACACGGAAAACGAAAATCGTGAAAATATTTTATTATTATTGTCGTGATTATCGGAAACAACGAACCACCTCTGCGGATATGAAGAGAGAGAGAGAGAGAGAGCACTAGAAATGGAGTGAGAGGGTCAATGAGCGAGCGCGATTCTGCTTGTTATTGTTTTGGTCGTGTGCGTGTGGCATCGGATGTAAATTCACAGATGAAGAGAAGGAATGCACGCGAAAGAGGGGTGTCACGGGTGGTCGGTTCATTAATGATTGTACACACGCACAACATATACACACACACACACATACAGACACTCACACAAACTAACGATTACACACCGACGCACTTGTTGTATATAGATATATGTATAGTATAATACATAAACAAGGAAAAATGAGAACGATTCTCTCACCACACGACCTTGACGGTTGCCGGCGTCGCGCCGCATACCAAGCACACCCGCCACCGCAGCACACAAGCGTTCCCCGACGTTACGACTCGCCGCCGTCTTTCTCTCAATGAACCACCACACACACACACACACACACACACACACACACACACACACACACACACACACACACACACACACACACACTCTCTACACACGTAAACCACACTGCAACGCACAATAATAATAATGTTGTGTATAAAGACGGTAGTAAAAAGAAGATGCACGCGTCGTTGCACCGACGACCGGACCGGCGCGTAGTAATAGATTACGAATAAAAAAGTAATACAAATAGTAAACATTGTAATATTTATGTCGCGCGGCGCCACTCGTACGTATTTCTACAGCCGGTAGAGATCATCGACTAGCACATCGGTATATACCTATACATAAATGAGTGTCCACAGCAGTTATTATTAACATTAATCGTTATAGTTTGAATTCAGATAGGTATACCTTCAAGTTTTTTTATGCGCCATCATTGAACGGAAAACATAAAATAATTGTACTATAATATTATGCTATAATAACAAACATTCATTGTTTTATACATCGCGCGATTAATGCGTTTAGGCTATTATGGGTAGGTCAGGAAAGTGTAATAATAACTATGTCTCTATATTATAATATTATATTGTCGATGGGTATACGGAACGGTTATTGGCTTAGCGGTCGTACTACTGGCGTGTGTATTTGTTACGGGACACATAATATATTTATACAACATTGTTATAATATGAGCTAGGTAGTATTACAATAAAATAGTAGATAAGTGATGACTAATTTATTGTTACGACAGTAGAATTTCGATAACACATATAATAGAACTCAACTCGCGAGTCCATATTATATTCATAGACAATGAAAGACGAGACAGTGTTTATTACGTGTTGTCATTATAGTACTATAATAGTATATTACGATATTTCGGCTTAAACGGTGATGAAATTAGACTAGAATTTGATTTGTTTAGGTTGTAGGTATACCTACTACACCTATCGAATATCAGTTATATTATTTTTGTTTATTTGTGTGTTATCGATATTCTACCACGGTGTTTTCAATGAAAATCCAATTAAGTGATATATAGAATAGCTACTTACTTTCCGCTTCTTCGTCATCAGTTTTGCATTGGCTAAATTTATACACATAATATTGTGTCATCAAACGCCGTAGTCAAGCGCTCGTTAAGATAATTCACAGCAAGTCACAAATCGTATATTTTTAATTTATGCGCATGCAAATGGACAAAGTATTGATAACAACAAAAATATCCATTTAAATTGCAATAAAATTGATAAAATGATCCGTGATTACGATCTATAGTTGCGTTTCGCGATGTTTTTCCTCCAAAAAAAATAAAATACCTAATCCAATTCCGAGTGAGTTTGAAATTAAATTATTTTTATCGTGGTACCTATTACAGTTGACTGTTGTTTTTGTATTATGGTATTTAAAAACAGAAATATAACGAAGTGATAATAAAAATTATTACATTTACAAGTATACAAATGAAAATTGTATAGATAGCAAGTAAATTGTATAAATGGCTATAAATAGATCATGTGTACATAAATATAGATCAGCTATAATAGGGTAACACATGTATTATATATTGGGCAGTAATGAGTACCTATACCCAAAGCTAATGTAATAATATTAATAATGATAACCGATAAGTAACAATTGAAAAGCGATAAGTGATAAGCGACAAGTTATACGTGACAAGTGATAAATGACAAATGACAAGTGATAAGTGATAACCATTGTAATATGTGATAAATGCTTAATCCTATAATGCCATACAAATATATAAAAATCGATAACAGCTTAAAGTGTTTTTTCGAGGATACCGTGAATCATAATATTATCATAATCAAATTTTAACCACATTATTCATACATATAGGTACGCATGATTAAAGTTGCCCAACGAGCATGGAATTTTCGTGTTCAATATGAATCTCATAATAAGAACAATTCTGCAGCACTCAATAACAGCAGTGAAATATTTATGTACTATTGAACTATATAATAATATAATATTAAATTTCTTTCGGTATCGCAAATTCGCAAATCCCAAGATAAAATTACGGATGGAAAGCGCACTGAGTTAATTAAACAGGCGATTCTGAGAGTAATTTCAATTGCCATATGATATCACTTATGACATATCCCTTCTGTCAACCATTATATCTTTAATCGTGCACATAAGCTACACCCTTAAAGTTCTACGGATAAAACTGAGAGGGATACGCCTCCCCCCCTAATCACGCCAAAATAACACATTCAAATAAACAAAACATGTCCGAAGACTTCTACAATGAAAATATGTAGCCACGAAATAAGTTCGCGCATATAATATAACAACGACGAATTGACGCCGTTGTATTTAGAGACACGCTCCGTCAGTCGTAGCTGAACCACATTCGAAACATTATTATTTTATAATTTGAATTTTTTTAGAAGTATATTACTTCAATGGAATTTTTTGAATACTTTTTTTTTCTATTTAACATTTAATATTTTTAAGGTAAATATTTTCAAGTTTTGTACGAGGTGACCACATTTGAACAATACGCATTTTGAGCGTAATCAAAAAATGAGATATTATAATGTAAATAGTAATAAAATATAATAATAAAAAAAACCTTACTAAGTAAAACACTATGTTATTATTAGGGCTCGGATTTATATGTATTTATTTAACCAAAGTATGTATTTATACAACAAAAATATGTACATAAATATGTGCTAAAAAATTTATAATATGTATTATCAAAAATAAAATACACAGATTAAAGTATTAAACTCACGAAATTAAATTAACACGGCTCTTACGTTACTGCGGGTTTATACTGACTCACTGTCAACTGTCAGTACTTCAAACGCAAACGCTTTTTAATAACTCGTTATCTTTATGAGGTCATAAATATCAAATATATATCGACAGTAGATTAGATTAAGTTTAAAAATTGGTATTATTTTGTACTTTTGGGAACATAGGCAAGTCTGTATTAATAAATAATAAATCGTAAATGAACAAATTGTCGAAATATGTAGGAAAAATGGAATTATTGAGAAATATGTAAAAACATGTACTTATGGCAAAATATGTAAAAATATGTAAAATAAAATATAGTTCATTTTATTGAAAATCCCTTGAAACGTAATTTATCACTTACCTAAATTAATTTATCAAGTCACTGTAAAAATATGTATTTACATATAAATCCGAGCCCTAGTTATTATTAAGAAATTAGACCGGGCCGCGTGGAAAGATTAGTATTATATATTCGACAGACGAGAAAATTATTATTAAAATACGCGCTTGCGGTGATTATCACAGATACAAATTAATTGAACTGCTATGGCATTTTATAATTAATTATCTTATCCTATGTGTTATTATAGATAAAAATAACGGCGGAATGATTAATTATTTAAGACTAGGTCAACAATTTTAGTACGGAACTTGTTGAAATAAAATGGTTTTTTGTAAAGAATTTATTTTACATAATTTTTTTTTTTGCGTAACTGATAGATGAAAATACGATAAATAAAAACAATCGAATATACAGGCGGATACGCGTATAAATTCAGTCAATAACAAATTTAAATATGTATAAGAGCAAAATATGAACAAGTGACATATTATTTAAGCTCGATTTGGCTGTTAATATTTTTTTAAAGGTTTTTTTTATTATTTTAATTTACTAAAAGTACCGACACAGATGATAACAATATTTTGCACATGTATAAATTATACACATCAATGTACATGAAATAATATTTCAACATTTCATAAATAATTTAAACAATAAATTTATAAATAAAAATCAGTAAGTACTGCTAATAAGTACCTATCTTCTGCAAATTTTAATATATTTTACCATTATTATTATTGTTGTTGTTAAAAATTAATAATACAATAACAATAATGATATAATGGTAAATAAAATAATACTAGTCTAATAGTCTTAACGATAGATGAGAATAGAACATAAAAAAAAAATTTTTTTACTTATATAAGATTAAATAATTACTTACCATTAATTTGAGTGCCCTTCAGAGTTCCTGCCGGAAACATATCTGGAAGTTCCTTGGGAATCTGCAGCATAGCCGAGCATGCGATGGACATGGACAGCAAAACCAATAAGCTTGCCTTCAACGCCATCATTGTGTCAACGGTGCGCCGAGAAAATGAAGTAATTCGAACCATAAACCGTAATTATTATAAGAAACGGATGGCACAAAATTAAATCGAACGCAACGAGCGCGAGAGAAAATTATATCACCGAGAAGAAAAATGTTCAAGTATCGCGGAGAGAACAACGCAAAAATTGAGCAGAGTAACGGAGTAAACATATGAGGTACGCGGAATGAAAAAAATGAGCTCCGTACGTGCCTTTTTATAGGCCGTGACGGCGGCGGCGTCTGAGGAGAAGGTTTCCACCACCGGTTGCCCGATGAACGGCACAACAGGCCAGCGCCTACCGGTGTGTGGGAGGAACGACAATTCTATTGGACGGACTGTCCTCCAACCTTCCCGCCCACCCATCGGCCTGCCAGCCCACCAAAGCCACCTATCCACCCACCCGCCACCGCTTAGTGCACACACATACGCACATGCGCACACGAACACGGCATATATATGTATACATCTTCACGACGATGCTACGGCGGCGGCGTCGGACACCGGATGCGAAAAATCGATGCGAGAAACACCGTACGGCGTACATCGGTATATTTTAAATACGCTATAATTAATAAAGTATTACCTATTACAAAATAAGATTATTGCAATAATATTTCGAAATTATATTCCGTCTCGCTCGCCACTGCAGCGTACAGTCACATATCTAGTACAGTGTAGTTATGGGATTTTATTTTATAACATTAAACGTATACCTACCAATATAGGTCGAAAATCGAAATCTGCCAAGACTTGAAGTCATCTTACTATATATTATATAGTCATACATTTATTCACACAGATAGGAAACTGTATATGTTTTCAGTCACATAGAGGTTGCCGATTACTGGATGCATGCAATTATAAAGTACCTATTAAATACACGTCATACGTGTAACGATCGTCGAATGATACCTGTATCATCCACCGAATATTTTTATAATCATATACAGACGACATAATATTATACACCAAGAGGCATCATAATATTATGTGACTATTTATGACTGTACCTATAGGTGCTGAAATAATATTGTAATGTCGCCCGAAGACGATGATCTTTCGCCGGTGTACGAAAACAGCCGCAGTGTTTAGCATTAATTTGTTATATTATACCTATTAATTATTACAACCTGTAAGTACTTGCTACCTGAATATTAACAAAGTGTACATCGGCAGCTATATTTGTATGAGTGATTTATGAAGGCATTATAAATTGTAATACTATGGTAGTATAGGTAGGTATAGTGTCGTTATTAATAATAATAATGATATGATTAAAGACTATTTCACTGGAATGCTTGTGGTAGTATAAAATAGGTACCTATTATATTCATTATATTTGTTTATAATTTGTAGCACGTTATTATGTACTCGTTAGGTTAATATTATACGTCATGCGGAGTATATAGTATGTTGGTCGGATACACCAAATATATATTTTTATTATATGTACCTACCTATTTCTTTATGGCAAGAGGAAAAAAATGTAAATAATTTTAACTCATTATAAAATGTATACAACCCTTCAAACCGATACACATGCACCGCCGGTGAATAAAATGCTTATAAGAACCGAATGAAACTTTGATGAATAACTGAAAACAATTGGCAAGCTTAAAATTTGCACCGCTTTAAAAACTCAAATGCCGCTACCGCGAGGTGATTATATATATATATATATATATATATACAATTTTTGTGCATTCGATTTATATATAGCTAGTCTATCCGTAGCATCTAAAATAAATATCGCACACCACTTTGAAATAAAATTATAGGCATAGGTCGTAGGCATGTTTTATTATATGCATCATAATTTTATTCATAGTAAGGTATTACTATAACTATAATCATCGCACCCATTATAATACTTAAATAATGAAGCTGAAGGCTACAACCTAAATTTATATTTGTACTGTTGACGTATATTATACTTCACGGTTTATTTGTTCATTCTGATAAATACAATAAAATGTATAATATTATCTTTGTACACTTATCAAATTATTATTCTATTATAATATTATCATTTTTTGTATTTATTGTGTGTGTTCAAAGTACTGAATATTTAAACGCTACAACTCTAGGTAGTCGCAAGTTAACAATTATGTTCATCATTAGAAACTGCGGGTTTGCTTTTACATTAAAATTAAAAATTTTAAGATATTTTGAAATTCTTAAAAAATTCTTAAAATACATTTTCTTTTAAGTTATAACTATATTTTTCATTTATACCTACCTACTGCCAATACAAATTTCTAATTTTATGAAATTTTCGCGGGTTGGGCATGCCTGTAATATAGCGTACTGTATAAGGGTGGACAAGTATAACAATAGCCTGCAAGCTTAATCATTCATTTTTACATGTCAAATTGTATTTCATAAATCTAATTTTCTTGTATAAAAAAGTATACTACGCCACTGGCACGCACTATATAACAGTGTATCTATCTAATTATTATTTGACATTCTAAGACTGTCAAATCATTCAAAGGCATATTACAAATCATGCATATTGAGTAGGTAGCATAATATTATGACATATCAATCGATCTATAACGACATGTTTTAACGTCGTTGCCAATAATTAAAGATAATGCAGTGTCGAGCGTATTCACAAGATGGCATTATAATAAATAATAAAATAGTATATTTTATATTATTATGATGCGTGTGTGCGGTACGTTACATTAAGCGGTATTCTATGATAATCAAGGCGTTAAAATATAATATATTATAAACATAATATAGTCCGATATCGCATCGAAAACGAAAATAGCACGTATAGCTCGTTCGTACAATTTTTATTGATTTGTGATGGGTATATCTATATGATATAAATATAATATTATTATCTGTATGACATGGTGACATATAAGCGAACGGCACTGCAAATACTTGCTCAAATGTTAAATTAATAATTATGATACACTATACTGTATAATAATATGCGCATACTTAGAAAAGTAAATTTACTTACCGCTTTACTTTAGATATTTTTAAATCATTGTCCACACACTTTAGCAATATTAATCAAAACAACAACAAATTCTTTTGATGTTTACCGATACCGTGGGGTCCCGACTTTGTGCTTCAAATTTTCAGCAATTGGTAGAAAAAAACACAATTGTTGTAAAACTATTTTGATTTGATTGAACACAGTTTTTGTTTTGATTTAATGTCGTTGTCTCTGAAGGTTGATAAATTATCTACACAGCTGAACATTATGTATATTCTCAATTCTGTGTGGCGTTATATATTTTTTAGCATTTAAGATTTTTAACATACACTTAATTACTATTATTAATTACGATAGATAGAACTGTATAAGTATCTACGTAATCTATTGAATTTTTAATAACATTATACTACGTATAATATACATCAGATCTATAGTCAGTATTGTACGACGACCACGAGCCTCGAATGCATCAGAAATTTAAATCGCAAGCTACTCTTATTAAACCGTATTACTTAGGCATTCGTTAGGTAAACCCGTAACAAATATTAAAAAATATATATAATTTGTGCCAAATTTGGTAGAATATAAGTTCCAAAGATATGAAAAAAATACCTGTCATTTGAATTGATATTAATGCTTTATGTATTTTGAAAGGTTAAAATGCATTAATAATATAATACAGGTATTGGTTAAATCTTTAGATTTGTTCATTATTTAAAATTCACAAAATTCTTTTAAATACACAATGTATTGTTTTAACTATCGTTGAGGAAGGTTCCTATATAATATATTGCACAAAATAATTCTACGCAATACTAATATACCTTTTATACTAATTATTAATTATAGTGCTAACAATATAATGTTATAAGTTATAACATAACAATTCTGACACTATATCCTAATCAGATAACATAGATATTTAGTCAATATTAAGATTATAATATACCTACCTACGTTTGGTGTTTTTGAACGATATACCTAATATATAGCTATAGTACTAAATTTAATACCTGGAATGAAGAACACTGGTATGTGGGATTTTGTCGCTTTTATACGAAAGATTAATTTTTTTCTCATCTCGTTTTGACAATTATGTTTTCCAGTTAAGTAAAAGTACATATACCTATTATAGGTAAATAGGTAATACATAGACAAACAGTGGTCGATGTGGAGGGATACCGTGGGATGACATCCCTTTACTTATTTTGAGCCACTTTGACTACTGGTAATACATAAATACTATATAATATAACAATATATATACCACCGCATGTAAGTGAATATAATAATTACATACCTACCTATATGATTCATTTATTCTACCGAACGATAGTCGGAAACGTCAAGACGTCGCACCGGATGTAATGCGACAGATATTGTATTAATTAATTTTATCATACACGGATGTACCTCCACTATATAATAGTCTACAACTCGCATTATCGTATGATATAAACATGAAAGCGATTAAGTATAATTACAAGTCGAGATGTATAATTTATATTATAATCTACATAATAGGTAATAGCGACGGCTCGCTGATGGGCCATGGGCATAGGCTATAGCGGTGAACAAAATGTGTATGATTTGAAAATTCTCAACAAAATTGTTCACTAAATAGTTTACAGTCAATTTAGGGGTTCTCATTTGAAAAACAAAAGCTTGTGTCGACACAGTTCACTCCTTAAGTGGTACAAAAATGTCATGAAAATGAAAATACGGTCTTTGAATGAGTATATTTAAAGATTCCAAAAATTAGATTTTGAATTAAAGAAATAAGGGAGTCATCATTCTTGGTGAATATTTTTTAAATATTTTTTTTTTATGTACCTACAATTTCACTTAACACTATATTTTGTTAAAGACAATGCAGGTAAAGTGGCAATGCACAATAAAAAAAATACTGTCCTAGGTACAAAAAAGTTCATGCCTGGTCACAATAATAATTATAACATATTTGTGATTTATATAAACATATATATAGGACATAGGTACCTACACAGAAACAGTACATTATTATTTAGATGCAGGTACAGAAGTAATAAAATATAAAATAGCAACAATTTTTTTATTATTATTATTATCTTATGTTACTTTTAGACAAAAAATCGGATTTAAACAAATTTAAAAAAAAAAACAGTAACGTGTTATGCCTCTATATGGCCTACACTATGGTGATATAATTAATTTACAACTGCAGGCCTGCTTAAAAGG